TAAAACTAATTATTCAAATATATAATAATACTAATAAAACATCTATATTGATATAATTCCTAATAATTCAATAATTATATTAATACATTTTAGTCTCATTAACTATAAGTACTCGAAAAACAGATACAAAAGTATATATTCGAGATATTATTTAGGTATACATTCAATCCACTTCGAACTTATATTATACTTTTTATATCTATACTTCAAAAGAGATAAACTTATTAATTGATATAATTTTATTAGTTATTAAATTATTATATAATATTTTTAAGATAGGAAACTATTAATTTCGAATATATTATATTTATTACTACAAGAAGCTTAAGATGTAGTAATCTATATATAACCCTTGTTTTTTGTATACTAATAATAAGGGAACTGGATTTAGTATTATAGGATTTCAAACAGATGATATACTTATTGTTAGAGATAGTATGTTTATACAAGCTGAGGATAAGCAATTCAAGCAGGCTAGCTTTATAATTAAGGATTGTAAGGAACTTACTTATAATTATTTATTAAAGTTTAATAGTATTATTTTTATATTTAAGGGTAATAATATTTATTTCGATTAGAAGAAGTAATATAACAATTTGTAGTTTATATCTATTAAATCTATGAATATATATAGTATGTGTAGCAAGATTTGGAAGTATATTTTTATATATAAACAATATGTTATATAACAAACCTGTGGAGTATATATTGTAATTATATGTTAATCCGAAGTATCTTTTGATTTATTTATAATAGTGTAAACGATTCAATTCAGTAAGGATGATATTGTGGTGTTAAATAAATATATTAAATAATAAAAAGAAAACTTTGTTAGAGGATTCAAATATGTATTATTTGATCTAGATTTATTTAAGATTGTTGTTTTTACTAATATCTTTTTTGTGAATAATAAGGATTATTTGTTTCAGATAAGTTATGTAATTATAATAATAGATAAATATAATAATATTAATATTATTTATTGGTTATTTATTAAGTATAAGAGAGTTATATATAATATTTTAGTATTCGAATTATATGGATTAGTTTAGGGATTCAATATCAGTGTAGTAATCATTTCTATAGTTAGTATTATTCTTGGCAAGGAGATTCTATTAGTTTTGTGTATTGATTCCAAGTTATTATATGATTTATTTATAAAACTAGGAATAATTAATGAAAAAAGATTAATGATCAATATTATAGTATTATATCAATCCTATGAGTAGAGAAAGATTATTAAGGTGATTTGGATTGATAGTCTAATTAATCTAATTGATGTAATAATGAAAGGAAAATTGTATTAAGTTTTTACTAATTTGATTAATATGAATAAGATTAATATTAAAGCAATGAAGTGGGTGGAATAGGATTAAGGGAAGAAAGGGATTAGTTCTATTAATAAGAGGTTAGGGATTTTAACTAGCAAATAAAGAATATTTATAATTTCACGAATTTCTTTTTTGTTATTATATTTGAAGCTATAAAAGAGAGTTCCGAGTGTGTGGATAAGGGAATTCATTTAAAGGAATTTACTTTAAAGGAATAACTTTTATACAATAATAATTGTATTAAAGGTATTTAGACAAAAGCGAAAGAGACTAGTTCTTTCAGTAGTGTTTATATAAGGTCTACTATTCCTTTTATTTAGCTAGCTTTTTAGATTAAATACAAATAGATATTTAGGGGCTTACACATAGTAGGAATCACATTTTCCGTATCTCTCTCAAACTAACAATTTTAGATTTAAGAAAAAGAATTTAGTTATTGAGGATATCGTATTCTTTTAGAATATTACAGGAACGCTAGCAAGGATTCAAAATTTAAGCTTATTGTGGGTTAGGGTTGTAGGAAATACTAGAGGCGATTGATTCGTTAATTTGATGGATTATTCATCAAATGTCTTGAAAATTTCAATTGGCCCTTCTATTTTGAGGTATTTTATTCCATTTAAAAGCAATCTAATTGGCCCTAAAACAAGCTTAAAGTAATGATCCTTGCTAGCGTTCCTGTAATATTCTAAAAGAATACGGTATTAAAAAGTGATCAAAACCAGCCTCTTTTTTCTCCTATGTAGAGTCAGACCTCAAGTCGAGGTCCGAGCTGATGGTTGTCACGTGATAATGTCATCACCTTCTTTTCCAACTCTGCCCGGGCAGTATTACTCTTGCATTCACGCACAATTATCGACCATTTGGGGTTTGTTTCTCATGATCTTAAATTATGGCTATGGAACCTTTTAAAGCAATTCAGGACTTAGTCACTATTCTACGCCACGACTTTACTGTCGAATTGAACGCTTCATTAGCTTCGTTGCCACCTCAAACTTCCACTTTTCTGAAGATACATGCTGAGATCTGCATCGATCCATGTGTGCCACAGGATCAACTTGGAGGATACAAGTCCCAGCCAATTTATTTAGTAAGATAGATTATCTAGATCACATCTGTTCAATTATTTCATCAGCAATTTTTCTAAAATGAGGCTTAGGGCTCAATTTCTCTAGATCAAACCGAGTCACATGAATATTTAAACCAACAATGCACAATACCTGTGGTTACAGGTCCTTCCCTGTTGCGTGATGATACAATAATGAAGGGGGTCGAATTAGCTAATAAAGTGCCTGAGCTGCCCAGCATTCATCAATCCTCCTCCCTTGAGAAGAGGCGAAAGACCATCGGAGGACTAACGATCAGAAGAGGCGGCTGTGATGAGATGCCAGATGACTCTAGTACATCTTCACAGGCAGGAAATTCGACTGTGAGACAGTTACAGACAGAATCCCGAGTGTTCCCTCAAAGAAAAAAAAGGAATGATCATGGCATTCATCAATTGCAGCCATCCTCGGTCGAAAAATTTGTTGCTGGAGTATGGAAACAAGTATACAGTAACGTCGAGCTTGCACCCATTTTGCTGGTATTTCCACCCTCAAATCACCGATTAATATGCTTGAAGTCTAGACTAATGAGTTTAACAGGATAGTGACTGTGTACCAATAATCGCAACCGGCGGGCCTAATATCGAGGTTAGTCTGGTGACTTAATATCTAGTTCAACTTCCTGACATTTCAACAGACGTTCCGAGCCATCAACTCGCTCTGTCTAAAAATCACAACAGTATCACGCCGGTGTCGCTCCTTAGAAACGATCATTCAAGCTCACTGGGTCGACTGCTTTGATTATCGAGTCAAAGAAATCGGAATCCAGAACCCATTTCTATCCAACACAGATACCAAAATGCTTGCTCTCCGGGAGGCCTGTACAATCCTTAAATGGTCAGAAAAAGAGCTGAGGAACAGACTGTGCGTATTACCTAACGTCTACATTTTCATATCCAAGATCGATGATTGCATTATATGTGTGATTACTCACTTGGCACCAATGAATTACCAAATCCTTCGATATTACGAAACAATAACTGACATTTGGCAGAGCAATCTGGCGAGGATACAAAGAAATCAAGGATGCAGGTGGCTGGGCCTGCTTGGCCTTTGCCGGCTCCGGAATTTATCGACTCTGCAAATATCGTGTAGGCTTCGAAAAGAATCTCACAACAAGACTTGAACGACTCCAATCTGGCCTGGAAGTAGCAGCCGATACAATCCACCCAGAATGGCGCAAACTCCTAAAATTCATAGGCATAGAATCTCAACCGGCATATACTGGACATCCACATGACTGGGTTGTCTGCGATACAGCCAAACCTGTTACGCTCAAATCCACATACATGCAGTGGGACCCGGATTTTGAGTTTTCCCACATTGAGGACTCCGTAATGGATCAAGCTGCTTGGGGTGTTGAAGATCCGCGTATGGTGGAAAATTCTAGTACTGTAACTTGTCGTGATTGCGGACGCTTGCAATCGAACAGCTCTTCTGTCAATGAATGCCGTTGTTTTCCAGAGTTATACGGGTGCTGCAAAGCACCTCCTCCTGTACAGGTTTTTCGTACTCCACTGGGAATGAACAACGGGATTATCGCACGTTGTGTAAGTATTGTGCTAGCATAATCTCAACTTATTCAAAGTCCCGCTGACAATACATGCGCCCTAGGAATTTGCTCGCGGTTCGGCAATTGGCGAGTTCGTAGGACTGGTTACTAAGGGAATGGAAGGTAAAGATGTAATGCAAAGCAAAAGCACTGAAAATCAGTACCAAATATACCAAGGACGGATGGGTTTGTTAACCTTTGCCTCAATTCTTTCCTTCTGTATCTAATATATTTGTTTCAATAGGTAACTACACGCGCTTTGTTAACCATTCCTGCGCACCGAATAGCCAATTCCAGAAATTTTACTGGCTGGGAACTGAACGTATTGTCTTGGTCTCTAAAAGAATTGAAGCTGGAGAGGAGATAACGGTAGACTACTCACATGAGTATTGGAAGGATCTCGATAAAGATTGTTTGTGTGGAGAGTTATGTTGTCGGTACGCAAGAAGGCGGGCACGTCCATCTGCCACTTGATTTGGTTTACTTCAATCTTCATTACTAGGTATACAAGGATTTGGATTCATTAGAGGTCAAAGTTTAAATATGACACGTGATTTTTTTTACGGGTTTGATCACACGTTATCTTGATCAAGAGATGCCCTTTCCAATGTTCGTCCGCGAAGGCTTAAGGAAAATCCCACATTTCTTTTTCTCCTTCTTTTTATTCCTACCTTAATTTCATATTCCAAGGATAAATTGGAGTAACCAGTTCGCTTCGTCACACGCATTCCTATTTTCTTTGGTTAATTTAAAAGAGGATAATGAGCTTTATATTTATTCTATTTCCAAAGTCAACGAGAAGGTAAATTAACCCAGGTGCGTGTAGGAGTCTACCACTCCTGAAAAAGTCTGTCTAAAAATAAATTCTATGTTTATCCTAACCTTATTCCGGCTTTCATGCAACAGGGAGAAAATTATCGAAGTTCTTTCACCCTTCAACCACTAGAATTATCTATCTCTCACACACTCTTCGGCGTCATTCCTAACCTAACGATGACAGCTACCCTCCCTCTATCTTGTTATCCCGCTCATCCTTTCATTAGATCTTCCCTCTAAATTATACTCCCCAGGCGTCGGTTTCTCGGTAAGCTTCGGTGCACCGCCTAAACTTGCCAGAACGACTTTGTTATTGGCTGTTAGATCGTCCATGACCTCGAGCTCTGCGACAGTAAAGAAGCGTGGCATTACGGCCCATCGGAAGGGAATGAGAATGCAGACTAGGATTGGAAAGCCTATATAGAAAGATTGTTGTTAGTGTGTTTGAGTCTCTTGGAGGTCGTGTGATGGAAATATACCAATTGCAGCAATAGTTAGTGAGATTGCTACTGGGGCAGCTACACCAACGATTTGACACAGTAAATAGAGCCAAATCTTGCTCCTTTTGACTCGTAGAAGAGGTTCCCCTTTCTGAATGAAGCGACGTTCAGTGAAGAGAAATAGTAGCTTCTGCGTTATGCCGTTGGTCTCAATTGAACCCCACTATTGGTATTGAATCTTGGTTAGATATCTTAAAGCAGGAAGGGAAATTTCGGAGGGGGAAGAGTTTGTGTTGAGAGAAGAATGCATCTTACACCGACAACAAAGAAAACACCACTAAATAGTGCTCGTGGCATCGTGTGCAGCACGATTAGGAGGGGTCCAGTCATGGTGCCAATGATGCCGAGACCCATCAAGAAATGCGAAACGCGCTGCTCAACTACACTCGCGGCTCTGACGATTGGGCGACGGATTTCGTTATCCGAGCCTTCTTCGGTAACGATAATTTTTACCTCGGTTTCGTAGACTGTGAGTGATTCTGTGTGTACAGGTGCCTGCCAATAAGGTCAGAGATTGATGTCTTCAAAGGGTGAAATCTGACTTACTTGTGGCACGAGGCCATTTGGAAGCGGTATACCTAGGATCCCTGCAATAAATGTTGTGCAGCCGAGCAGGAAAAAGTCCCAGTGAAAGCCGCCTGGTTTCTTGAGAGGGAATTGCTTTGCTTGTGCAGTCAAACTACTGACGTTCTATTATAAAAGTCAACCCTGTGAACCAAGATTCGAGGAACAAACACAAACATGATCGTAATAGAATAAAAGCATAACCAGGAATCCAAAGGGCATAGCTGCAAAGACCCATTTCGCATCGAGATTCCAGAAATCAATAAGCCAATTTCGAGGCTGCGTCGGATAGAAAGAGCGACTGATGGGTAAGACACTGATATTTGCTCTTTTGATTGTTCCTGGAATGTGTGAAAATCCAACCCAAAAGATGGTAGCAATCTGGAAATACTATCAGAAAACGACTCAAGGTAACATTTTTGCTGAAACTCACAGGGTATGCATAGTCAGCAAGTATTCCTCGAGCCCATGGCTTTGCCAGCGTTCCACGGCCAATTTTCTCCAAGGCATATACGGTGCCAAAATATAGGATTGCAATAACACAGCTCAGATATCCATCGATGCTTCCGTATGAATCAAACAAGCTGACCAGCTCCTCAACCCCCTTAACTACATTACCCTCAGCATCAAGTTTCAAAAGGGGAAAATGCCGGAGAACTCACTCATATAGATAATGCCAACATACATGCCAAAGGCTTCGCTAGAGAAATCGGTGACATAACGCATGTAATCACAAAGATTCCAGATGGCGACTAGCCAATGCCAGATTGCAGCCCAAATAGCGGTCCATGCCATAAACTGAGGATATATAGAGACATCGTACATCTTTATGATGTCGTATATAGTGTAATTGAACAATGAGATCAAACCGGTGATACCAACGATAGTCAATGGCTGAGCGGCAATGGTACTGAACACCATTGCCGCAAGAGCGGATGAGAAAAGTGCTTCGTTGATCCCGTAGAAACCGCCAGTTCGGCGGCTCATATCCAAAGTGTAGGCTAAGGCAGGAAGCAGGCTTTTTACACACTGTTAGTATGGATTTCTAAAAGGAGCTGTCTTGGGGGCTCGAACTTTACAAAGTACATTCTCACAGTACTCGCAAAAGTGCGGTAAGTTGCAGCATCTGAAATATCACTTTGGTAGTATGGTAGTCGACGGCGAATATCATGATACATTCCTAGACCAGGACGCAACATTCGGAACCGCCTCCATCCCGTTAAACCATCGAATCGGTAATTGTCCAAGTGTTGAAATGAATCCGAGTTTTGTTGCTGTGAATTGAAGGACGTTTTCTCTTCGGTGGGTAGCTTTGCGGTCGCCATGTCGCCTGCCGAGCAATCTGGTCCGCTACTCGAAAGGCCGTCGACCGATGTAGCATTAGATCTCTGCATTTTTGAACAATTCCAGTAGATACAATAAGAGCAGAGAAAGTTAGTGTTCGAAGTAGGAAGAAAATACTTGGACTGGAAAGAATGATGCTTTATAAGTAAAGAAAGACACTTAGGCTTAAGTTATTAGGGGGAAATGGTGAATGCCAAGCCGCTAAGAATTTGACGGGCTCTTCACTAAGGTTACCTAACCCAGATACATCCTCCATCCTCGTACCCTCCATCTCTTACTACGAGTCACAAATTGATCAGCACTAGATAATCATTAATTACAATTGGTTGCACTAAATTATGTGTTTTGAAAATTAGTGGTTCCGATCCGTGATGGCAGTTGGAAATCAGAAATCAACGTAGCAACGTCATTTTTCTGCTTGGGCAGAATGACATACTCGCTTACTGGTGTTCTCAACGGCTGGCTTAAAAAAGCAGAGAACTTGATACAGATTTTGAGCAGGTATCATATTGGCCTTCAGAGTATTAACATGCTTACGAGAAGTGATAATAAAACCAAGCCCGCATAGAAATTCATTATCTCACTGAAAAAAGTCTTAATATGTACCGGTATTTTACTATTGCCAAGCATTTCTTGCACCCAGGCGAGCCGGGCAAGCACCGACCCCAAAAGATACTTTCCGATCTACATTACCACTGAGCCTATACGCAATCGCTCAGGAAAAGGCGCAGCAACTCGCTTTCGCTCTGGGTGACGACTTACTGTAAATAAGAGTATCAATCGTTTGGAGAATTTACTACAAGGTATAAGAGTCCTACTCTAGGGGTTCTGTATAACGAATTACTGGTTCTTATCATCTTCCTAATGCCGTAAAGTGACGTTCCATACGAACTCTAGTGGGTGGCGCTGTTCGGGAAGACATAGGACAACTGAAATCATAAGGGTACAACGTTTCTCCACTTTTTGTTTGGAGTCAATTGATGTCATATATCTTAAATTCCTGAAAAAGAAAGCCATTGCTAGCGAAACACTATTTGACATTTCAATTCTTTAAGCGAGCATGATGATATTCTAGATAAAGTTCCTGATGTAGTCCGCTTACTCATGAGATGCATTGCTAACCTGATTGAAAAGAAATTATTAATGAAATAATGAGTTATGGTGGAGTTTAAAAATTGATATGAGAGTATGGGTAAATATTTGTAACAAAGGTGATGAGAACCTGGCGCTAGACAAATTTTGAGAAAACTCTGAGAAAAAATTGAGAAAAGGGGGGTGAATAAAAGGTACGGAAAGAGAAGTGTAGAAGAGAGCCGAAGCAGTAACAAAGCAAAGCCATTGAATTTTGTCGAAGGTAATATCTTACTGGCTTTATCACTTACCATGCATTATGAATAATCAAACTATTGAAATGAATCCACGTGAGGTTACTAGCCCTTGGATGACGGACAAAAAGAAAGCTTTGCCATTGAAGTACAGGGAAGCCTAGGGCCAGATTTGTCAGGCTACCCCATGGCCTACAACCATTACTTGATTGAGAATTTACACAAAGCTCATACCACCATAGAAAGTCGGAACCCAGAGGCTTCATTGAAAGGCATCATCTTCGGGAACGAGGTTTTTGATGAGGTCAATGTGGACTCTTTTTAAAATGCCTTGGTCTTCTCTACTGCGCCTGTTATAAATATCACTTCTCCTCCGTTCACTATTGAACGGTAGCTCTCCGTATACCACAAAATGAAACATGTAGCTTTTCAGGAATAAGAGATAACCTTGAGTACATGCATGTGTTGCACCCCTACTGGGATGTTATTTTTCAAACACCAGTCGACATATAAGTTCCGCGGAGACAAAAATCAGTAATGTTTACAAGCATTCCTCTCAAGATATCCCTTCACCCCTTTACCTCCACGTGCATATCTATGATGACCAAAATCTATTGTTATTGACAAGATTGTGAATCAAGATGGGTAGATATTCATAGCTTGTTCCTCCGAATTCGCTACTAGTTAGATCATTGCAATAGCTGCATCATAATCTCCTTTTTTTCCTTAGTAAAGATTGGATCGATAAAGGTAGGCAATGACAGAGATGAGAAGGACACATAATACGATCTCAATTATATATCAACGCTATCCAGGTACTCAGTCATAGTCACATACGTGGAATCTTGATTCAGTTGTATGTTGAAGACCAAAAAATGTTCACTTGCAATCACATGAAAAATACTTTCTGGGGCAGCGCACATTGATTTTGTGAATGAATACGAGTAAAAAAGGCTGATCATTCGTATACTTTCCATGACCTGATGATCACTGACTCCACTGTGAAGTCTTTGCATTTAAAGTAGAAAAGTCAGTCATTCCTTTGATCTGGGGGTTGGTATTAGGAATGTATCGGAGTCTTTGAAACCTTCGATGACAAATGAAGAGAAATCATCCCTGCACCAAGCCGGAGATATTTTCAGATCTTATACTACCTCCCTTGACTCATTGAAGATGAGTTCATCGAGAAATATCCTATAATTCCGTGAATAGTAAGTGATTTGTTGAAACATATCACTATAACTCGTCATCAGTCGTATATGATACTCATTTCCCTGGCGGAAGCATTCCTGTGATTCATCATTGAATGTGTTTGAGATGAGCTCAGCTCTAAGTTAAGCTTTGAGTGAAAAAAATGCGCTTTCTCAGTCTAAGATTCGAAGCCATCGTGATCTCGGAAAAAGGAGAATCTTGGAAAAAGAAAAGAATGTTGTACTCTCATGAACAAAACACAAAGAATGCAGAAAGCTCAGGAAATGAGAGAAGAATGTTTTAATTTCACGAGTTAAGGGATAGCAAACCGGCTTCACCTATATATATTGCAAGCTTTTCGCTTTGTCTAGTCATCAATCACACAATCCTTGACCTCAATCACACAATTCATATCAAAAGCCATTCATTAGAAGCTCAGCCCAATTTTCAAAATGCAATTCTACATCCCAGTTGTTATGGCCTTTCTTGCCGGCAGTGCCACTGCGCAGATTAGAAGATGCCCCTTCAACGGAGGCAGTATTCCGTTTGGTCAATATGTTTGTTCGGGACCTCGTGTAAACGGATTCCCAGGCAATGGCATTGTAAGTTTTATTCGGTCATAATCAGACTCTGTCTTTACTTGAAATATCATCAAATGCTAATGAAAATGTAGTCACAATGTGCTATAAACGGGCAGATTGTGCAGATTGGTAGTGGTCCATGCCCTCATTACTGCAACTACATTTCAGGAATCCCATACTGCTTCTAAAGTAAGAGTTCATTCTGCCCAGACTTGTGTGAAATCTGCTAATTGTTTTGCAGTTTCTTGTTGGCTGCAATTCATCAATAGCTTGATGATTAGCAATGGATTCAGCGGATGCTGGGCCTGAACGGGGGGATTATTTTTCTTTCTCGGATTGAAGGTGGATTTCGTTCGTTATAGGACAAGTAAAGTAGTACTATCAACGAAATGGATTATTTGGTGGATTTGAGTTAAATGGTTTTGGGCAGCTTCTAGATGAATGTTGACTAACTCCTATCTCGCTTGCTATCACAAATTGCTCGATTAACCATGACATGCGATCCATGAGTGAGCTCTGACAATAATGAGTAATTTGGTTCGACTGAAAAAGAGAATTTATAACATGTTCCGGCATTAAACATTGAGACAAATAAGAAAATGTACGAGAGAACCGCTAGTGAGGTCATTTTGGTAGCATTGAATGTAAACCTTGGACAATTCACAAAACGAGCGGTGATGATTGTCAAACTTATCATACAGGGTGTAGCGGCAAGTTATGCTGCTTTTCTGTTGATTGGAGTGCATTAAAAGACACTGAATGTTTTAGAAAAACACTTCGATATTTATTGGTCCTTAAGTAGACACGATAAAATGGACAAATATCTCCACATAGTTTTCATTGCTATTCCGCTGCAATATTTACCGATCAATTTCCAGATAGGACAGTAGGGGTTGCGAACATCCTAAATCCATCACTGAGTATTCCGAGGCTGAAACACGAAAATACCATATCTCACAAGCATTGAGAATAATAAGAATTTGAATACTTGCAGGTCCCAGATGCACAGCATTGAGAGCCTGTAAATCCAGCTCCACCACATTGGCTGTATAGAGCACCGCACTAAATCACATCGTGTATCAGTAAAAAATCTTCGACATCCTCAAGGTTCCAATCAAGAGCAAACTTACGGTGCCACCTGGTGATGTTGTAGGAGAAGAAGCAGGAGCCGTGGTAGTAGTTCCGCTCCCATCACCTCCTGTTGAACTTCCGACAGTTATATCGGATGACCCACTGGAGAAGTAACCTTCTGTTGCGACTATCATGTAATCAAAAGTACCCATGTTCATTCCTAGTGCTTTCCAAGCATTGAAATGATTTCCGGTTGTTACGGTACCACCAGTTCGCTTTGATTGTCGAACAGACCAATATTGATAAAAGGTAGCAGTACCAATAATAGATGGTTGATTGACCCGTTGGGTCTGATAGATTTTATCTGGAAGTTGTCATTATGAGTCACTGCGTGGCTAGGTATGAGACTACATTGACTTACAAGTTGCTCCGTCACTAACCACGGTACCTTTCAAGGTAGCTCCAGTGCTTGGATCATATGTACCGAAATTCTCGACAACATAGTATTCAATAAGAGGTGATGTTGTCCAACCATAGAGGGAAAGATAACTGTTGCCATTTGGACTGTACGTGCCACTATAGGTGACAGCCCTGAGGGTAATTGAGATGAGGGTCAGCAAATGCAATAGTCATAGTCGTGATGGAAGATCAAGAGAAGATTTGCACCAACCTAGCACTTCCAGGATTCCAGCCCTTTCCACCAACAAGATTGCCATTTCCTGACCACTGTATTTTGTACTCGCCACCAGCACCATTTGTGTAAGTAACATCTGCGCCACCGTCTGTCCAGAAGGAATAGTAATATCCGCCTAATCATTAAGGTCAATATAAAGAGAGTTACACGGGACAAGAGGGATACGAACCACTGGTTCCAGTGGAGCTAGGTGTCCCACTTCGATCGACGAGTTCAATACTTGAGTTGGCTGGATATGCCAAGACCCTCGTAACAGTAGCAAGAGTAATAAGAAGAGCTTTGTATGAAACCATGATGAATATGAAGACCAATAATTTGATTTTTAAAAGGTTCGAATGGTTGATGTTGAGCCTTGGACTTGATGGGGGAAATTATCTTCCTTTATACATTTTGAAGATCGGCGACGGAGGAGAAGTATCAGCCCAGTCAATACCAAATGTCACTCCATTCATCAATGAACGAATTGGGTAATATTTCGCCCAGTCCATTTGTCCGAGCGAAATTTGATATAGGTGTTATTGCATGTTCCCCGCAAGTGAGAATCATCGACGGTAACCTTTTTGAAGTTTGCTAGTCACAAGATATTAGTGTTTTGGGTACAGCGTCAATCATGCACCCCGCAATGCAGTGAGATGATCAACTCTTACCTATTAAAGTAGATTAGACCCTATAATATGAGGATTGTATTACCTAGGTAGAATTGATAGCAATATCAAGGCTCTTTGGATAAATTGGGCGGGTAAATGCAACTCTGCCATTGCCCGTAAAGCCGACTGTGATTATGGGTATTATGTATGCTGAATAGTTCATTGGATTATCCTCTGAAACAGATAAAGAAAGCTAATTGGCATAAAGAGGATTTATCAACGCCCCAAAAGAAGAGAGATGTGAGGTAGTTTCTTAATTGCCATGCACTGCCGCCTAGACAAAAACAAGAGATGCGATTAATGAATCACTCATGCCTAATCTTCACCCTGAAGAATAGCATACCATTTGATCATTCTGAGACTCATCATTGGCTTTTCTTTAATCTAGATTGGAGCCTTCATCACGGCTTAGAATCTCTTCATCAAATGCAATGTGGTGAATAAGTGGCAGTATTACAAGAGCTCGTCTTTTTCACCCCGACCATAGAGAGATCGATCTGAAAGTGGGAAAGACATCCTAGGTAGATATATCTCGAAGATTGGCCAAATAAGTATCAAGGTTGACTCTTGAATGTGACTTTCGTCTGGCAGTGATCAAGCATCTATTCCCGAACACGACTGTCTGGCATTGACTACAACTCGGCATTTCACAATGCTACGCAGAATACACACAAGATCAGCCTTTGGAAGGAGCAATTTCTGAGAAGAGAGAGAGCAGACGGCAGAAGAAGGAGATAGATTAATTGGGGGGTCTTCGCAAATATTCCAAAGCACTCACTATGCTCATGCTCGGGACAACACGCGAGATTCAAAAGTATTTCCATTACTAAGATCTGAGTCGGAGTTGCCCATCCATGATAATTAATTCGACTAAACGAGTAGAGTCGACTCTCAAGCTGCGTTCTTATCGCTAATGCTCTGCTGCATCTTCAAAAGTCTCAACGTCCCCACTCAAATTTTCTCCTAGAAGAGCACTTTGTGACAAGGGTCAAATGTTGTGAGCGGATCTCGAAGGGATGGACTGAGAATGACCGACACATTGCCGTACTGGTACCTTAAGTCAGGCCAGTTCCTAAGGTAACTTGGAAAAGGAAAGTTGATTCAGAACAACCGGGAAAGATGAGGGACTGTTCGCTCCTGAACTAGTGTCTAATATTCTGACAAGCTATGTGACGATCCAAACACTCGCTCAGAAACTGGTAGCCTGTTCAAAGGCCCAAATCACCGAGAGCCTAGTCTCGAATTCAGAATAATCGAAATTGATCAGAAGTCTGCATGTAGCCGCATTGATCATTCAGGCTCAAGAGATATTGTGTCCTTTTCCGGTCATTATACTCAGCCATTGAATCCTTGAAATCGTTAGTCCATCTAGATTTGGCATATATATCAACCATAGTTTTCGGCTAAGAATGCCGTTCACTGTCCAACAAGACAATCGCATCAGAAAGACAGAATATATCGATATTGATTGAATGTGATAGGCAATGCTTTATTCTTAGGTATCAGCTCCAATTAACTCCCCAATGCATATTCCCTTCAACCGAAGAAACAACAACACCAAACCATCATGAAATCGTAAGAATCGTAACAATCGTTTCTACCAACCCAATAATTTTGCCTGGTTTTGCAGTTTCCATCTATTACGTCCCTTCCAAAAACGCCATACCAGTCATGTTCGTAAAAGTTTTCATCATTATACAATGATCTCCTCTTCGCTCGTTTCCGTCGTATTCCCATCACTAGCTTCCAATACTTCGTCATGCCGTCCAAGATCTGCCTTTCCCAACATACCATTCTCGACTTCACAAATGCCATCCAGTCCATTCGTTAGTTTCGCAGATGTTGATTCGGCCTCAATAATAGCACTTCGTTCTCTGCGTGCTCGCTCCCTTTCCATTCTGCCTGCTTTGGCATCTTTCATCGAAATCCTGTTACCACTCACCCGACCAAATATCCACATTTGTATGACTACCATGACAGCTGTATATCTCCAACACAACGCATCATCTTCATGCATATCAAGTGCCCATTGCGAACCTGGTAGTGGGCCAAGACTTTCGAAGATCGGATGTGGAGATGTCGACATTGTCGGAGGAGGTGGTAAGAGATGTGAAACGAAGGTATTTATGAGGTGCAATACGAAGGCGGGGTTGAGTAATATCCCGGGTATGAGATAAGTCGTCGAAAGGAACGTCATCTTGAGTTCGAAAATGGAGGGAGAGGCTCTAATTTGGAGAAGTCAGTAAATGAGTTCTCTCAGAAGGAACCGGATAAATATACGTTTTGCGACCACTCGTATTGGAAGCTCCACGCACTCAAGTACCTCTTCTTGGCTTGAAGTGCTCAAAAATGGGAAATGCGTCGTTATACAATATCAGGATCCAATGATGAAGCAAAAAGCAAAGGATTTTTGGGTTGTGCAAGCGGGAGCTGAATGAGTTCAGTGTACTCCGTTGTTTTGGGAGAGGATATTGAAGGGATGCAGCAGATCTTTCGATGTTTGCGATGTGTGTAACTGGAAAGTTTGGCTTTTCTACCCCTCTATCCCAAGATCAAGAGGGAATTGACGATATGTGAATAGGCGACAATAAAGGTATTGTGTAGAAGTATTTTGTGTTCTCATCCGTGTGAATAAAATCAACAAAATCTAACAGAAGTGTAAGAATGATTTTGGAATTAATACAATATCTAGGGAAGAAAATGAATGAATGAGTGAGTGGATGGAAGAGAAGAGAAGGGAAGAAGGTTGAAGTGTTGTACAATTGATAGAGATAAGTCAATTGTACTAGGTAAAGTGCGTAGGCAGGTGGTATTTGTTTCTTGTTTTCGAATCAAGGAAAGTAAGAGTCTTACATACCTAGGTACTCTATATAGGTATATATATATATACGTCGTATATAAAACCTTATATATGTACAACTTTTGAGAATTGAGGACTTTCCTTCAAAAAGCTTGCAGACTTTAGATAGAGGAAAGGGAGGAAGAGAGTAACTGAATTGAATGTATACATGTGCAAGGGAAAGATAGTAGTAGGTAGGTATCCAATGCTCGAGATGGGTAGCATGGAAGTGTGTAATGGCCAATTTCCAAGGAGATATCAACTCATAGTAATAACCTTGGAATACTAGGGAAGTACCCAAGTATATAGATACAATTGAGATCAATCGTTTTTTTCTCCCGTTGCACCTACCTCTCGTAATCTATTGTCTTGTCGTTTGTACATACGACAGTACCAGTCGTACCTAATCTACTAATATAAAATGAATCAATTGTGGGATTTGATGCACACTCGTATTTTAAGGTGCGCCAGTGGATAATGAGACCTTAGTAATAAGTTATAACATGTGGTTTGTACGAAGAAAGGTTGTGAACCGAGGTTTGCTCGATACGCGTATTGAGTCTGGCATTCCATTTTTCCATGTACAGAGTACAGGTTCTTCCCGGTATTGCTTGCTTGTCTGTCTGTGTTACCTAATGAGTAGGTAGTATGGTTTGATTGCATACTCCGTATGCTGTCGTTGTACACGTTGTCGTTGCATAGGTATGTTGTCATGGCTCGAATAGCCTCAACTTTGTCAAATCTGTCAAATGGAAGGACCCCTCATGTTCAGGATTTTCGTCTGATTGACCGGATTACAAGTAGAAACTAAGGCACCTAGGGTACACGGACGGACCTAGGTAAACTTTGTACAAGTCTCAAGCATAGGTACCTAGTGGCAAAGTTTAAAAAAATCATTGCTCAGCCTTGTCTTCAGCCTTATATTACTCTAGCCACATTCCGAACTCAATCAGCACCGCCACATCGAAAGAATTCGAGTAAGGTTAGCTGGAGCCCTGGAGCCACGTTTAACTTTCAAATAAGGCTACTAGTCTCATCATTATTGAAACTGCGCAACTGTAACTCGAAAAGCGCATCACGCACTTCTTTTGACTACCTAGGTACAGTCAGTTATCAAGGGCCTTCATTTCTTTTACTTATCAAAACCTTCATCATGGTATGTATATGTATATATGTTTCTCGATTTCCTTCAGAATCTCAATCTAACAATCACAGAACACTCTCTTCAATACCGCACTCAAACAATCCACCTCCCTCCGCCGAGATCTTTCCTCGCTTTCTCCACCCGAATCGCAACCCCTCACTCCATCTCTACTTGGTCAAATATCTTCATCTCTAACCTCCTTTTCAAGAACTCTTGATTCTTACGCTTCCCTTCAATCGGCCGAACTCAACCCTTCCAAAAAGGAAAAGGCCTATGAACGATTAGCTACATTCCGTTCTGAACTACAAGATTATCGCTCCCAGTTTGCAACTCTCAAATCGCAAAATGAAGATCATCAAACACAGATAGATAGGAGTGAATTACTTGGAAGAAGACCACATCATGCATCAACACCCGAAAATCCTTATGCAAATACAACAAGTGCGACCGCTGCTCGGGATAGTCCATGGAGACGAGAGGGTGGACCCGGTGGAAGTCAACTTTCTATGAATAGTGGGGATTATACAAGAGAAACGCATGCTTTACGCGAACAATCATTCTTTCAAAATACCCATAGTGCGTTGGATGAATACCTTGCTCGTGGACAAGCAGTTTTAGGTGATTTGGGACAACAGAGAGAAATGTTAAAAGGGACACAAAAACGCTTGTATAGTGTGGCAAATACCTTGGGCGTATCTGGCGATACGATCCGCATGATTGAGAGACGTGCGAAGCAGGACAAATGGATTTTTGGAATTGGGGTGGTGATATTTTTCGCCTTTTGTTGGGCCGTCTTACACTTCCTGAGGTAACGTATTGAGTGCAATCAGGTCATCATTGGTAATGGAGGAACTATCTTGATATTTATGAATTTAGGGTTGGAAGTGTGTATGAATATTTGGCAACTGTTCATTTCTTGGTAATATAAGCGTGGAGTCTGGAGTATGGTTCGGCACAAAAAGGGGCGGCTGTTCGTGCGACACTGAGCGCCGAGAATTTACATCTAGGAATCTATAAACATTATTCATTAAATGTTCATCGAAGTATGCGGACTATTTCCATTCGACTCTCTGTGCATCTTCAAAACTTTATTGTCTATTTCGACCTTTTGATCCTCCTTTGCATCTTTTGATCATCCCCGACATCCCCGGCACATGCCACACTATCACCATGAAGCTCTCCAGTGACACCAAAAGACCAAATGAATATCGTTTTTCTCGAATCAGCTCCCAATCATGCATTCCGGCATGATAGCATCAGGGTTTGATTTCTTGGCTTTGCTTCCTCGCTTGCCTGTGGAAGATGATAGGATTTCACTGTGCATGACCCTACATGCACAAAATTTGACTCGTAATCTTAACAAATCCTTACCTCTTTGCAAATTTACTATCTCTCTTGAGAAGTGTTTTTGATTTCGTTATTCCTGATGGAAGACTCATAAATGGATTAGACTTCTGGTAGGCAAGTGCTGCATACATGACTGACATGACCTCATTGTTCATATGTATCTATATGGCATGGCTAAAAGCTGTCATCTAAAGTTCTCATCCTGTTGTAAATTTCACTAATTCAATACTCCTTCCGTGTATTAACTCGGGAGTTCATAAAGACCGATCTTCTCCCCTACGAAATGTCAAGGTTTTCATTGGTTCTCTTGTTCAAGGATGAATTTCTCGCTTCCAAACTGTCGGGTCTCCTTTTCCGCACCTACTCTTTTAGGAATCCTCCTTGTAGAGACAACAAATCACACCTCATCAAACCCCAGCTGTTTGACCTGACTCCAATAGCTAAACTCCATTCATCTATTGTCTCATCTCATGATTCGGGTATTACCAACGGCTCCTCGTCAGCCTGTTTTTGCACTTCACAATCACTGCAGAATTAAGCCCCCAATACCAAACTGCCGGATTTTGAGTGTAGAATGCTTATCGGTAAGCGCTTTCCTGGTCGGAGCACCTGTAAGCTAGCCAGTTACAACAATTGATGGGCTCTCAGAATCAAGTCTCTAATCCTCTTGCATGTGGATAAATAGCCTTGTCATGCTTGGATTATTCCCGGGCGGTAAACTCAATCAGATGCAATCACTAAGTCCAGTCTTTGCTACAGTCTCTTTCAGTCATGCATGGACATCTGTTTTACCTTGATCATACAGATGTTTAGGCGCTGGTGGAGTAAAAGTAATGTTTCGGGCAATTCAATAAACCTATCATAAATCAGACGGCTTCAACAAAATTCGGGTCAAGGTCATGAACATATCATACGAGCCGCAATTCGCCAATTGAAGTCTCACTAGCTTTTGCTCTCGGGAATGAGGCAAGATATAACTATGAGCGAAGGAACTTGTTACACCAAGAATGCAATGTTTATCAGCAGGGCAAGCATCACTCCAGCTTAAAACAATATCTCGAAAGCTCGCAAGTCTCCGCCTTCCCAAACATCAACGGTATTCAGATCAACCGGAGTTATCATCGAAAATTCACCGACGTTACAACTTGTGGCCAGTTATTATTGATTACTCACTCGGAGGTGAAGTCCGAGGAAAGCTAGTGACTACTTTGTCGCGACAAGAAACAGTTTTAAGAGACTGTATTCCGCAAATCGGTATGCTTTTTTTTTACCATCGCTCTAAAACTTCCTCCTTTTTAACTTCATCTAGTCAGGCGCCTATTTTCGGTTCAGGTTTTGGAATCCACTCGAACCTTTCACCTTTCTAGCACAAAATGACGTCTCACATACTCCGAAACACTCGATTATACACTCGCCAGCTCAATGAGCAGGAGATGGATATACTCGCAGCCTGGCTCGAGACACTCGATCCGGTTAATCCCGGTGAAGAAGCAGCTGAGATCACTGTCGTGTTACACCACTCTTTAAGACAGAACAATAGAGCCAACGCGTCATCCGGCAATCACAAAACTCCACCACAAACCTCTGTTACTTTTACTCCACCTCATCATCCTAAATCTCATACAGGATCACAAAATGGATTTGGCAACAACTCTACTAGCTATGCAGCGACGACGAGATCTGAAGGTAACAGTTCTCCTGATTGGAAGTCCAACTCCCGACAGATCAAAAGCTTCAGACCCCCTCCAATTTTTATACCTGGAATGCCAAACTTGCCACAAGTGAAAACATACAGCAACACGGAAAGTATTGATGAACGAATCTCGCCAGAGATGGCCAGAATGAAGAATTATGGTACGACTCCTGTAACGGCCATTCGTACACACTGCCCCCCATCAGTGTTATCGAACGATATGACAAAGAACGGCGTACAAAGCGTTTCGAACAGTTCTGATCCTCCAACACGTCAGAATGAAAGGTTAGACTCTAGAGTGGCAAATTGGATAAGAAATACGTCTTCAAATTCTTCTTATCTCGGACATCAATCTCAAAAGAATCCCTCCAAGGGTACTTCTACCTTACCAGCCAAGCTTCATGATCCTGCAAATGATCCTGCGATTCTAGCATTAATGACGGCAGTTGTTGAAGAGAAAAAGGTTGAAGAGGCTAGAACGTCCCCGCGTCTAATGGGGAGTTCGGAACGTGTCATCTATGCCTCTTCAAACTCAAGTACGAGCTCTCGGGATCGAAGAGTACCTGCTAGTAGTCGACCGAGAGGGTACCCATATCTCAAGAGCGACCTGCATCGAGATACTGGCAGACTCGGAATGTATCAATCCGATCTACCATTGACGTACTCTCATATTTAGCCATGCTATCAAAGGAATCTTGTGTCGACATCTTGCTTCATCATAAGACAATTTTTAAATGGATCTTACGCAAGTTCACAATTTGCACGTTCCATACATAGCATCAATACAGGAATATCTGTAGATCGGCATACTAGGAATATCCATGGGCTCGCTCTTAGTTCATCGTCACTTGTGATAACATCGGTTGTCCCCCGGAAGATTCTGTCGACAATTCCACGGCCAGCTTCCTGCATGCTGGCACAACCTTCTCGCAAAATCAAGCTTCTCATGATTTCGTTCAAACAAAGGCATCTGGATATGACCTCGAAGAAAAGGACTGAATTGTAGACCAGTACAAGTTTTTATCAGAGAAGACACAAGCACTAATTAATTTACTTGCTGCGGGAGGTTTGACGGTGTATTACTTGCTGTGCAATAAAATATAAGCGTTGGGATAGTTACGTTTTTTATCTTGTATATTTTTTTGTGTATTTAAGAAGTCTATCTGAATTTAATTTAATATCATCCATCATTTCGTATGCCATGTATGATGTACATAATTTTGGCTGAGTTTCTTTGTGAACGTTGAGTTAAGGCAGGGTTCCTCACGCTCAACGCCTAAATGATTTGATCAGCCGAATAAGGATCATAGCTATTAACGCCGAGAACGATTATTATAGGTACCAAGTGTTTGATCAATCTAGCTTCAATTAGGGAGAGCATCTTTCTCGCCGTCCCAGTAAAATAGACTCGGAGAAAAATTGGATAACTGCTTGACACTAGAGGTGACACTGAGAGGATCGAGTGAGAACAGCATGAAAAAGGTCTTTCTATCATCACTTGTAAATTGCTGTGTTCTGAGAAAAAGTGATCAATTCTTGATCCTAAGTTTAAATGTACCAAATCTCAAATGGGAACTTTTACAAATAGTATCGATCTTCCTTTTTGCTTGCCATTCTACGAGCTAGAGAGGTTATCGTCGAGCATCAATTGTGCTATCACACTCAGCCAAATGCGGAGCCTGGACAATCACTTTGAGTTGTATACCATCGGACGCGCGGGTATCTCCAGCTGTCATGTCCTGTCTTTCGTCTCCCCATCTTTTATCTGTCTACACGCGTAATTTTATGATTCTCAACAAAATTGAGGAAGCAGATGAGCTATAAGAATGAAAATTTCAACCCCACACGAAAAAGGAATGGGTCTGGGGAAATCGTGGCTTTCTCCTGAATTAAAATCCGGCTAATGAGTAGAGAGACGCTTGATACAAGCTTAAATTTAGGACTTCGCTAGTCATTACGTTTGACAGATGAGTGAAAGGGCGAGGAATTCGCAGGGACGTTCTATCATGAATAATCTACTCATAAAATAATACTCAAAGTACTTGAAACGTACAATCCAAGTAAAAATTGACGAATGGTAACTCTCGAATTGATGTTCCTTGGCTCGACATGTTCCAACTGACTAGTCATCGCAGCGTAGAAGTTAAAGGGACTAGAGCGAATTAAGAAGCACTAGCTCGAACCATAACATCATGAATTATCTGAGTAGATCTTTAGACCTAATCCATGCCAAGGAAGGTGCGATTGAGGGCAGTCCAGATAGAAATTCCTAGAATATAAATAAATATTCCCCATACCTCAAGTATGTTCATTCAGAACAATCAATCCGAAAGACCTAGACTCAAGAAGCAACATCATTAATCTTCAAGACTCCATCCAATATTATTACCGAGAACCAAGCAATGGACAATCAAAATACCTCTAGGGACACTTCGTCTACCGAAGTAATAGTTTATAAACCTATGCAATGGCGAAATTTGGCTTATACTCCGGCTACTTCAGCTCCTTCTTTGACAGCAAATACTGGTGAGTTTGAAGTTTAACCTTGTCTTCGTATTATCCCCTCCGTCGTTCCACATCAAGCTGTTGATTGAACCTCTACATGTCATTCTCTGTCTTTTATAAATTCAATCATATCATTTTACTCTAATTTTGCAGACGTTTGTGGAATAGACTTGCTGACTTCTCAACATCGTAGGCGCGAAGCAGTTGTCGCTTAACGTTGGCAGTTTCGACTCAGCATCCAAACCCCAACCTCTGAAAGGAACAATTCGACGCTGCCCCCAAAGACAGGCTGAACTGCATCGAGGTTCGCATCTCACTACCTTCAAGCAAGGTCGTCTCGTTGAAGAATCATTCTGCGAAAAATATAGACCTCTTAAAGTTATTGGTAAAGGCGGTTTCGGACTTGTATATTCCATTGAGGAGAAAGCTACAAACAAGTTATTTGCCGTCAAGATGGTATTGAAACATACAGAAAATGCACCTCTTCAACGAGAGTGGAATTTGCACAAGAAGTTGAATCATCCATCGATTCTTCGTGTTCATGATTTCTACGCATGTATAGGTGACGGTCCCGGAATGGTGATGGATTTGGGGGAGAAGACCATGTCCGATATGATTCACGAGCAAGGATACATCGAAGAGACTCGAATGAAGATGTACTTCATGGACATTTTATTGGGGCTTGAATACTTGGTAGGAACCCCGACTCAAGAAAGCCAATCTGGAAGTCGAAAAGAGTGTGCTAATTACATTTATAGAAATCTAAAAATATCTTGCATCGCGATATAAAGCCAGGAAATATGATCCTTGGGCGCGGCTCGGGTGGTCGTATGATGATAGCAGACTTCGGCTTGGTAGACCATTTGGTAGTTGGCGAAAGAATCAGGAAAACCTCAAGGTGGGCATAATATACGATACAAACTCTCAAATATTGTTTGCTAACTTTATCACAGAAAAGGAACAATGACTTGTAAGTTCTCATCCTATCCCATCTGAAATTGATATTTGAGAAGATATCAATATTTGAAGGCACATTGGTGGTCCTAGTGGATCAAAGATTTCAGTTTGATACTACCCCTATTTAAAGAGGGTCAGAACCATCGAAACCCTACCCCACCCCCGTACCTCTGTACTAGTTGGTTACCAACTGGGGCACTACACTTGCTATCGGTTCATTTACTAACTTATCAAGATATGGCACCGGAATGCTTCAGGAAGAGTCTTCATATTGATGGTTTAGGATTCGAGGTAGACATTTGGGCAGCAGGGGTCTCCCTTTTTCAATGCCTACTGGGCTATCATCCTTTTGATTCCGCTGGGCCAGCAAATGATGAGAAACAGCGGAGGAGAAACACGATATTGATGATCATAAACCCCAAAGCGGCCCTCGATTTCGAGAGCGGTCCGCTGCGTCAACCTATCAGTCAAGAAGTAGCAGATCTTTTGGGGGGAATGTTGGAAATAGACTTTGAAAAAAGATTGACAGTTGAGGACTGTCTTGAACACGAGTGGATGTCCGGATAATTTTACTTGCATGTTACATAATACAATTTGAAGAGCATATGGCTAGGCTATCGGCGTTAAAAGATATCATTTGGAAACAATAAAAAGGCCTCATTAAAGACTGGTAGATTGTGCTCGATTCTTCATATGATTTTCAACAGCTTTGAGTTTTGAACCTTACATCGTAACAACTGCAGAGAGTTGCCGCATTTGAACTGTTCATATTGGGGCTTGATATTTATCCTGATTTGTTATCCTTGGTAGGGCTGATGACCCTCAAGTACTATGAGTAGCTACCTTAGTGCTAGCCATACTTCAAAGTTGGAAGATACTCTCCTACATGCCCCTGGGTTTATGGTGCAAAGACAGTAGTGTAGAATACTGTGCAAATGGATAAATTTTGAAATATATGGGTAGGATTCTCTCAACCGATTGCAATAGCAACTCGGGAGCATTGTGAAAAGTTTTTACCACTCAACTATGAAGACGGGTGGAACTGAAATCTGAGCGACCCGAATAAAACTCAACCATTGTGCTGCAAACCATAAAATTCGTAACCGATCCTCTCATGTACCATAACACACAAAGGCAATGATGAATGTGCATCGCATCCAGCTAACCATGTTCCACTTCAGATCATATATCATATGGGGGAAGTCGCAAATATGACTCAAATCGTGAGACAAGGAAAGGCAAATTGGAGTGTTGAATTCTATCAGAAGACACTTAAATCCTGATACTTGAGAAGCGCTTTTTCAGATTAGTCCATTAGGAAGTAAATTGCTCTTTATAGACTGCAATAAAGAAGTTACTTTTGATAGTCAATATGCCATCTCGTTGGTCCCATGTCTACAATATGAAAGGGGTACGGAGTTTGGCTTATGATGAACAGAACTAGAATAATAATCAAGTACCATGATTTCAAGACATAAACATGAAAACTTTCATATATAGATTGCTAATCCACTTCATCTACCATTTCTCATGAGATGTGTCATCTGTCTTGAGCTGGAAGCATGGATAGAAATTCTCAATTGCTTAGGACAACGAAGGAGAGAACAACAATAATCATACGGAAAGTTCTTAGGCTATGTATACCAAGTATTAGAGTCAAAAGGCGCACCAACTCGGCCCAGACCGTGATCAAATAAAATCTATCATATTCCAAGGCTGTTAGATATACATCCAAATGGATTGCTGACAGGTGATTATTCATGATCCGATCCTTTTGGGTGATATTGAACCAGCCAGGAGATGATTTTGTTCCTACTGGTATATTTGAAAAGGGGTTTGAAATAAGGACGGTCGAAATTAGGAAAGCGAAGAGATATCAATCAAAGATTGTTCATGGGCGTCTTGCGTTCTTCTGAATCGAATCAGAAGGCCGACCAAAAGGTTTGATTTTGCGATTGTAAAGTTTTCCAGTGCCAGCTATCTGGCAGATACTTCTCCCATACGTACGTATATACATAAATATACACACTAGATGACTGGAAGCAGAATATCAGAAACAATGATCTGTATCGCTGGTGGATTATCACTCACTACCTCATCACTGCACATACGGCTGTCGCATTTTGATTGTCAACACGCAGAGTATACGATGCTCACCTGTGGATAGTGTGTTTATATATTTGATGTCCTCGTAAAGAGTTGTGCTTCTTCAAAGTTTTCATCGCCTAACATCGTATCTGGTTCAATCTCTTCACATACTGATTACGTCTATAATCACGTGAACATCCTCTTCAACACGTGACTCGTGTTGGTGACCTAAGTACTGGGTGTATTCCACACAATTATGATTTAAACATATTAACTGTTAAGAGGTCTACCCGTTATACCCATTATACATCATATTCAAATGGTTGACTGATTAATGAAAACGATAAGAATTGGTACCTATACCTAGGTAGTGAGTGTCCTATTTACTAAAGGGTTCTACGCGACCGTAAGCCTGAAGGCACTATAAAATTTGCGAAAATGAAAAGTGAGTATTTCTCCTAGATCCTAACGACAAATGGGAAGGATTTCGTTCGACCCTTCCTTCTGAACCACTCAATTATAACATGGTAACTCTATTGATCTCAGGTCCTCTCTGAGATTTATCCCCAATCACTCCAGTTTTCCATTGAAGTCAACATAGCCTTTTCCAGCCACGAAAGTGGCATCCCAAGTCAAAGGCTCCTCACTCGTCGCCAATTCATAGTAGAATTCTCCATGTGCTTCACCATCAATTGCGTTGCCTTTAGGCCCTCCCTCTGCCGTTCGTTCGTCCGCCCAATAAAACCTTTGATATGTCAATCCAAATTCACAATACCGTTTGATTTTCACGCACCTATATCCATCTTTCTTATACACTTCTGAAGCACTTTGGATAAGATGAGCTGCGCCAGACTTTCCAATGCCAAACGCAAGTAACGATGGGATGACTTGACGATTCAGTATATTTCCGGTGTAAATAAATGTCTTGTTAGTAGCTTCAGGAAGAGTTTTGAATCCCTCTACAGCCTCATGTGCAGCAGCATATGCTGAAGTAATGACTACATTGAGGTCTTCATTGAACTTTTCCAATGGCACAGAGAGAGGATCAGGAGTGACTGTTAACGCTGCGGCTTTTCTATTCATCAGTAGGTGTCATTGATTTGGCTTCGGTGTGTTCAATATTTCAGACTGCTTAACAATCTTGTATGAATCCATCACATGAAGCAACTTAAAAAGTTTTTATCGTTTCGAACAATCGAGTTGTAGTCTGGATCATCAAGACCCCGATCCTAGAATAGAAAGACTAACCATTATATACAACAACATTTGGAACTCCAAAGTTCTGTTTCACTTCATCAAAAATGCGTTTGATGCTTTTGGGATCAGTGAAATCGGCTTGGAGGGAAAGATCAGTCGCCTTGATGAGCTCTTCTTTAGGATTTCGTGATACAATTACGGTCTTGTATGATCCTTTTGATGAGAAAACACGAGCGATGTTGAGTCCAACATTGGGTCCACCGCCGAGAATGAGGACAATTTTCGACATGATGACTCAAGAATGGATTTGATATTAATACGAGATGTTTATATCACAGGGATGTCCTAAATCCTGGAAGTGAATATCCAAGAAGGACCTTATATGAGACTTATTGAGCTGTTGTAAGACTTCTTCGGGTTCTCTTCGAAGTTGATGGAGATAGATCTGTATGTATATACAACATTAAGAACTGCTTAGAAATATATCTGCTTACGAAGCATCGTTCAACGATGTCGTGCTTAGAAATGGATATTCCCCATAGTGTATGATTGATGTTACTCAAAGTAGTCAATGGTGATTTTATTGGCTGAGAAGGGGAGCATTTGTTAATCAGATATCCTTGTGGCTCGATATTACCATAGAAAAGTCGTTTGCTCGTTCCATAATTCTATAGATAAGTTCCCATGTATTGATTGGTACCGGCGGATTCAGATTGTTAATTTGCATGTGATGGCTTGTGGCTTGTTTTTCAATTGTAAATTCAAATTGATGACACAATCCAACTTATTAATCCTGGCACTCGCCATGAATTTCTTTTAACAGGTATTGTGGAGGGTCTCAACACGTTCTGAAGAGAATACAGTAAACAAGAACACGGAATAAATCAAGCGAGGGGAAGAAGGGGTACCTAGTGGTTAAGAAGAGAGGGTTTGAACAACATGAAGAAGTGAATTTGGAATATTCTGCCACGACGGAATGATTCACCGCTTTTCAAACATACCCGTCTAGATCATTACTCGCCACAAACAACGAATAGGACATCGCCACACCTAATGGAGGTCTTCTCTTTATCCGCTATTCGAGCACTTCATAGAGATTTTTATATAAAAGCTACACAGTAGATACACCTTTACAGCTTTGAATCTTCTTAAAGTCCATTCTTTTCAAACTCAGGCTGATTATCTGTTCGTGCCTATACAAGTAAATATGACTCAACCGAGAGGTTACCATCATTCTGTCTTACATTTTCCATTTTTACTTCGTTTCCTTGTTCGTGTGGCCTCGCAGTGGAACATAGCCGCGGTTTCCAACGTGATGTATAATTGTTGATTGGCCACACAAAATCGTAAGTTCATCAATATGCGGGGCAAAAGGTAAAGCTTTCAGTTGCCTGACATCCACTGATACCCTAAATTCTACCAAAATATGAACATCGGACGTCAAAATTGAGCGTCGGGCGATAGAACGGAATATAAGGATTTGAGGGAAGAAGCAACTTTTCGTTTCTGTTCATCCTTTTTTTCCATCTCTACTCTTCATCAAAATCTGCTATTAACATCTGATTATCGCACTCTCCTCATTATCCGTGAAATTTTCTGTAGCTGAATGCCCAGCGGAATCCCCACTCTACGACTGGTTAATACGCGTCGACAACAACCCCAGAAAATTGGGTAAAAATGGCAAGCAAACAAGAATTCCGTGTTCGAGATTTAAGCACTCGAAGTGTTTTAATCTTTCCAACTAGAGCTCAGATTGTTCGTGATATCAGAGATATCACATTACAGGTAAGATATGTGAATACATACCGTGGTTCGTTGTGCTGACGGAGTTTAGACCGGAACCAATCAAATCATCATCGATGGACTTGCTCCAACCATTGATGAACACTCCATCAAAGTTGAAGGAAATGGTTCCGCCACCATCACGGAGGTATCTGTTGATCTTCTACCTAATCGTGATGTTTACGAAGAAGTTTATTCATCCGACTCTGAGCTTGAGGAAGAAACAGATGATGATTCCTCGGACTCTGAAGATGAATCGATGAAGCTTGTCGATACCAAAATCAAGCAAGTGAACCGTTTGCTCGCCCAAGAAACCGAGAAGATTAATTCTGTTGCGAGTCGTCTGCAGATTTGTGAGGATTATGGTGCTACAGTTCGCGATAATCCCCCATCGCCCGAACAGTTCGAGAAACTCATCAAAGCATATCGCGATGAACGTGAGAAGATTTATGTTGAACACGTAGCTGCAACTGCTGCTTTGGAAGTTACGCAGGATGAAATCGTTAGATTGATGAAAGAGAAAAGCAAATTGACAAAAGCAAGAACGAAGGCACAACGGAGAGCATTCAAGCAAAAAGTTAAGCTTCAAGCGACCAGATCTCGAAAGAATGCCGAGTCGGCAAAGGAAAAATTACGTATCAAGTCAGAGAGAAGTTTGTTCTGGCCAAAGAAAGTTTATCGTGTTACTATCAGTATCGAGCCTACGAGCTCTGCCATGACATCTGGATCATCCCGTCCTAGCTCGGTAGCCAGTGACATGACCGTCAACAACTACCAAGTCTCTAGCCGTCGAGCTACGGATATCATTAGCCTCTCCATTTCTTACATTACCTATGAAGTGTCGTGGTCTCCACGCTACGATCTCAGCCTTAACACCTTGACTAGCACGGGTGTATTAGAATATGCGGCCGAGCTAAAGAATATGACTTCAGAAACGTGGCGCGATGCCAAAGTTCTTCTCTCAACTTCTCAAACATCCATCACTAGTTTTAATGAATCGATACCAACCTTACCCCCATGGAACGTGCGACTACTGAAAGGGGGGAGTAGAAACGCCGAAGCCGCTCTTTTCAGTACCAGTGAAATTGCGGCCAAGAGAACGGAATGGGCTGATAAAAATAATCAACATCTCCAGCAACCTCGATATCTCCTCTTCGGATTCGAGCCAACTAACAATATATTCGCAAACAAAGGTGGATTCCCGAGTAACAATTTGTTTGGCAACGCCCCAGCTCACCATAAACAAAATTTGTTTCCACCAGTTGCGGGATTTGGATCTACTGCACCATCTCAAGGGCCCAGCACCGGTGCTATTTTTGGATCTAACATATCATCCCAGAATCCTGCCCCTACTGGTGGCTTATTTGGGGCCCCTGCCTCATCCCAAAATCCTGTCACCAGCGGTGGTTTATTTGGTGGCTTGCGTACATCTACAGCCAACAACTCTGAGTCTGTTGCCGAGAACTCTGCCAACCAACCAGCTCACGGTAATCCTCTCCTTAGTAGCGTCCAGCCTCTCATACATTCAGAGCATAGCGCCAATGTTTCCGCGCCTGGATCAGATATCGGTGATCCTACCGGCACCTTCGAAACGCCTCTAATTCAACGTCTTCTTTCACCAAAACCCACCCTTACATTCGAAGAAGGAGCTTGGGAAGAGTCCGGCATGTCTACCACCTATGATCTCCCTGGCCTCAAAACTCTCATGCCTTCAAACTCTGTCCTCAAGCACAAGATTGCGAAAATTGAGTTTAAGAATATTGGATTTGAACACGTGGTTATACCTAAGCTTCGGACGGTTGCATTCCTCAAGGCCAAATTACGAAATTCATCGAAAATTCCATTGTTAGCAGGCCCAGTAGGATTAAATTTGGATGGCAGCTTTCTGGGTCAAGCTACCTTCCCAAGATGTTCTGTTGGTGAAAGCCTGAGTTTGAATCTTGGTGTTGATCCAGCTATCAAGGTCGTGTATAACAAGCCCGAGGTACGACGTTCGCAGAGCGGAATCTTCTCAAAAGAAGACAGCAACGTCTTCTTACGTTCTTTGTCCTTGCGCAACACGAGAATGCAACGAGGTGTCAGTCTGTTAGTTATGGATCAGGTGCCTGTTTCCGAAGAAGAGAGACTTCGAGTCGAGGTTTTAGTCCCTCGAGGTTTGAAACCTGATGGTGATAGAATTCCTACGGGCTTGAACTTGGATGATGAGATGCTTCAAGGAGGTCGGGAGCGGGAAAGAGATAGAGATAGGGAGAGAACTTCTAGTAGTGGAGGCGAGCTTGTTCGTCGAAGTAAGAAATCAGATGCATGGGGAACGGCCGATGCAGAATTGAAGAAGAGTGGAGAAGTTCTTTGGAATGTGAGGCTGGCACCGGGAGCAGGTGTTAAATTGGTGTTGCAATATGAGGCTGGATTTCCAAGTGGAGAGACGGTGGTTAATGCATAGGTGCCGGAACATGGTTGTGTTATGTTAGATAAGGCGGGAAGCTTGTTATGCTAGGATATAGCAATAGTTTATGTTGGTAGCAATTTGACAAACAAATTTCTCTAGACATGCAGTTTTCAAGGACACTCCGCCTCTCCGTCCAACACTCGTAGAATGCCCCGGCTAATAGTGCAGGACAGAGTCTTGAATCAAGCCATCAAAACAACTTGGCGAAACAAAACAACATAGAAACAAATATGGTTTTACCACTAATAGTAAAGTTACAAGATCTCGGATACGTTTACAACCGAGAAAATATCTATGTTACAAATGGAGAACGAACTGACCTTCTAATGGCCAATAGCTGAACCTTGACGGCCAGTCTTTTCTGTGTGTGGCAAAGCCCAAAGTTCAATACTTGTGCCATACTTCGATGTTACATGCTACAGTATTTACATATCGAGGCAACAGCGATATGATTGGTCCAATTCATACTTCTATCCCAACGACAGCTTGAAAATCTCCCACTCTAATGTAAGATGCATCGTACATCAAAAGACAGCTTTCGATTTTAATAGGTATGACTGAAGAACCAATGATGACCTTGGTCCTTCCACATTGTCTTCCGGTGGGCAAGTATCAACTCGCGTACCCGCGATATCCCGAAGAGCTTTTACATTGCCGAGAAAGCTTAGTATACGGCTATCAGTCGAAACAGATATAGTTTGGAGGGATCGAGGCAAATTTCAAGAATTCAATGAACACAACGGTAGGATCTATATTGTCTCTACCGTGTGGAAATAAGTAAGATCCACAGTATCCGTGAAGACAAAGCTAGTCAAGAATAAAGGTGTTCAAACATCGACGTAAAATGAATACTTGATTTCAATAGAGTAAAGAGATTGGGTTGCATTGTTGTGAACACAAGACGAATTCTGGGTTGGTGAAATGGTCGTTGACAGGAATTCAGAAGAGTTTCTACTCATCATTGAGATTTCCGTCATGGAAAATGCTAGGCTTCTACAGCCCCAAAGAAATCTTCATGGTCAAATAAACTGGGAGTCGTTAATGTAATCCGAGCACGCCATTTCTCTCCGAATCCCAAAACTAGACCCCTCGACATATGATCCGACTCTAATGAGGCCCGGGTAAGTAATAAAATTCAGTGAGGCGGAGATGACTTACCTCTATAATCAGAATTCAGACCGTATACGAGTAATAGATGCCTCTGCCATCTCAATCAAGCTTTGCGGGGGTGGGTTTGTGATAAAAACTACGCCGATATAGCAACAGTTGCGTGGTATCTATTGCTTACATTATGGTTGATATGAATTGACATTTGAGGAACCAGAAGACTGCCGGAGGGCCCTGTTGGATCAAAAATACGTAACCACAAACGTTCTACAAGGTGGCTTGTGCACATGTATCAAACGGTCTTGTATCGATAGGGTCTTGTTTTGTGATTCATCCGAGCCATGATGATTGAGAAGCCAGAACCTGAAGCCTCTTCCAGCCTTCGAAACAGAAATAGCACATGCAGAATACTTCTGTCGCTGATGTGCCAACAAGAATGAAACATTGATTGAGGAGATAACTTTGTCCTCGGACGAACCAGAACATTCAAGCCTCAAAGGTACGAAACAGACCCTCACTCAACACAAACACCCAAGGAGGCGTGCGATGCTTCTTGATCAATGTCGAACGATCGTAACATAATGTCCCTGCTCTCTGGTACTCAAATAAAGTTCCAAACAAGCTTTTGATTCATATCAACTTCATTCTTAATTTGCACAGCCATAGCAGTTGCGGATTCAAGCTGTGTTGTTGTTTCAATAGAAGGCTATGTTTGACGCGTGAATGCACGAGGATATACCTCGACGTTTGATCTCATCCCATCTCAGTAGATCTGCCTTTTCGAATTCAAATCTTAGACTCGGTCAAGGATACGCATGCTTCGTGGCATTTGTATGATAGCCATTGTGAGTGGTTATGGGGTGTATTTAGAGACGATAACGGTTTGACAATAATTTGGTGAGATGGTGGCCTGTCCGGGCCTCCGAAGCGAACGCACGCACGCACAACGTAATCTCTCTTTCAAATGCACACTAGGAGCACAACGAAGACGGAGTAGACTGGGTGAGATGAGTGGCTAGTTCTGTATGGATAATCTTTTTAGGTAGATAGGATCATATCATAATGAAGGCATGATGGCAACTTTACCAATTTGGAGCAAAGGATTGAGAGGAATATTACAATCGAGAAAGTAGAAAACATAACGAGGAAGGGGGCTGTTTGGGTACGACTTCGAAATCAAATAAGCAAGCAAGTCAGACAAGTCATGAACAATGCAGATCAAAATCACGAAGAGAGATACTGTGGTACCACGATACCATTGTCTGATTCGGTCCCTACATACAAGGTCTTATGAAATCATATAGAAACTCCTCCATGTGATTTCGTACAGCGGAAGAAAGAATTGAATCGAAGGATCTACATATCTTTTAGTAATAACTGTGTATTTTCCCCGTTCATGAAGAAAGAATATGGGAAAAGAAAAAAACAAATCCGTTATCCAATTAACGCGAGACATTTCCAAGAATTCGCAAACCCCTTTCAGATACACGCTCCGATTTGATCATTGGTGGCCAAGAGCTGACGTTTCAGATTATAGTACATGTAGTTTCAAGCTTGGATGGCGGGGGGATGCTTTCACTTTATGATCCTGTAGACTTAATTCGCCAACCGATGAGATCTAGCAATCCTTGTCTTTTTGTAAATTTTAAAAGTACTGGCCGCTATGTCGCGGCCACAATCATATCAAGTTAACGAAGCGCCAGAATTCTAAGATGTGATGAAGGAGGTACGCGAAGGTGATGATGAGATGACACGAATACAAGTATTTTAGTTCTTGAAGGATGACACATTCTGCTTTGTATACACATACAATGTAATGGCTTTAAAAATCCTTCCATAGCCAGAACAATCCAATCGATACAAATGATGTTTCTAGATCTGATCACGGCAGTGGCGTGCGGATCAAATTCCTATCGTATATTCTGAAATTTCGAAACATTGCACAATCACATCTAGATAATCCGAGAATGAAGAAACGTATCCGAGTCGACTTGGATGACAATAGGCGCCTCCATCGTTTTGCATTCATCTGAGAATTCAAGAATGGAGTTGTATCGAAAAGCTTAGCATCATTTGGGTTTATTGTTCACGTCGGGTAGCTTTTTTGTGATTGCACGGAAGACATCATTAAATCTGTATATCATTACGGAAGAGATCTGGAAATGGATTCGACCAAGCGAAAACTTATATTGCGGCGAGAATTAGTAGTTGCTGGGCATTCAATGTGATACTGATGTGAAAATGTGTATTAAACTCCATACAAATTCATGGGGAAATAGATGATCGTGATTTAAACAGAGGCCTTTTCTCTTGGTATTCTCTTGGTATCGGCACATTCACTACTCTAGAACCCCCGAATGATCGGTATTGATTTCGGAAGAATATATTCGAAGTTCTGGGTATCTCCAACGAACGGAATCTAGCATATGAGTCGATGCTTTTCAGTGAATCCTTCAAATACAATTGGCTCATAAAAGTTCAGTCTACCAAACTGCCCTAATTGCCCTATTTTCAGGGGGAAGTAGACGGTGCCAAATTTGGAACCAATCAATGTGTACTAAGACATTCATCGCTAAACACTTCCTTCCATTCATATCCTTTAGTATTGAACTACGAATGAGTCCGTCGCCCTCAAAAAGTTTGGTGTCTTTGAGGTAAACGTCAGCCTCAACGCTAAGTCTATCCTTATGGAAAATCAACAGCCACTTGAGTACGAATCAGAGAGGCTAATTCGATGATTTTCAAAGACTACTTTCCTAAGAGTAAATCCTCATCAACCAAAGAGAATCGTCACCGGTGACATTGCCAAGCTCCAGGATATCTTAGGGCTCCCCTGAATCTTACAGGGTCCATAACATTACTAATCTAACCATCATTTTGCCTCTTTGTACTCCGTTCAACTCCATTTCACAAATTTGGGTCTACCATGTTGTGACTTTCCAGGGCTCTTCATACACGATCCAATTATGAACTGTCGCCAATGTCAGATTGCCCAAAAAATCTACCAAACTCTCCGTGTTCAGACTTGACTGGATATGACTATTCCAATCTAGGTATAGTCATCCAGTTTCTGTAACCCTTTCTCACAATCCACAACCTCCACTTCCACTATCCACTATCCATAACCCCGTACCTTTAAAATCTTTTTCCATACCAAAATCCCCACCATGCAGTACAGTCCAGAACAAGGGTCGAGTAGAAAGTCATGTCAATCCCAGAGCCTTCGTCAAAGCACAGACAACGCCATGAAGGCCAGGAGAAAGATCAAACACGCATACCCGGCTACTCAAGACGTTAGGGACTTTCCCTGAATAAGTATCATTCTCCACCATTATGCCGCAGCTTGTGTCTGGCATCCAGCTTTGGCGTTTGAACCTGGTCTTCAAACTTGCATATCAAGTAGTCTTAAAGCTTCATGCGCAAACTTCATATTTCTTCTACTTATTGTTCGTGAAAAGCCGCGTGTTTTCGTTTTAGTTTCCATTACTCTCTCTATCTCTATCCATCTCCATACCCGGAACACTCCAGGTTTCTTGGCTTGTTTTTTTATAGTTGCATTTCCAGTCATCGTTCATATATCTATTTACATTTCCTTCATAATAATATTGGGGCCGGCATCCATTTTTCTTTCTCAGTTCATGTTTTCCAGCGATCTTCTTTTCTCTTGTGGTCTGGTCTATCTCAAGCAACAGCATTAGTCTTTCATTCACACAAGCCAACCACCCTTTTCTTTTTGTACAACCACCTGGCGTGGCTCTACCAATCATTCAAGATGCCTTCATTACTTCAAGCATTCTATGTCCTCGCACTCATCAACTTGGTCCTCGCCGCTCCACACCCAGCACAAAAGCGAAGCTTCAAAGTCGAGCGAGTCGCAAACCCTAATT